CATGAGCATATTTTTATTGTAATTTTACTTTTTACAGTTTGAGGAGGTTCTTAATCAACCCGATCCTAAAGAAGACCTCCGGAAATTGGTTGACCCTCGTCTTGGAGACAACTATCCACTTGACTCAGTGCGCAAGGTGAAATAATTTCTCAGAAGGGGGAAAAAAACATTATAATTTATCTCTAGATATCAGTGTGAAAATGACTTATGGTGATTTTCTGGTGCAGATGGCCCAACTTGCCAAAGCATGCACACATGAGAATAAAGACCTGCGTCCAAGTATGCGATCTATCGTGGTTGCGTTGATGACGCTCTCATCCTCAACTGAGGATTGGGATGTTGGATCCTTCTATGAAAATCAAGCTCTGGTCAATCTGATGTCGGGAAGGTAGAAATCTAGAAGTGCAATGTTGCTTGTGTTTAGGATTAGGAAGTTTCTTTTGTTGTGAACACACCGAATATGAGATATCATAGACATTGTACATGCATGTATAATTGAGCATCGTGGGATTCTTTTGTAAATTGTATATATGTCACTTAATGTATCAAATGAAGATATAAAAGTTCCTTCAAATCTTGCCCTTGGGAAGTTAAGTTTTTAGTGCAAGTGGCAAGAGCAAGAAGAAAACCATCTTATTTTTTCATATACAAATCTGTCCATTCTCATGCGAAAACATGAATTCTTTGCATTAATTCCAAAAAAGGAAGCGTATTATGGTGGTAATAAAACCAAAAAGAAAAACAGAGCATATGGATTTACTGGTTTTCCTTGTGAAAATGGTTTGCCTGCAAAAGAAAAATATGAAAGCCATTAGATGGTGAGAAATCTTCTACTTGTTAATTGCTGTTCTTCAGGTTTTTTTTTTTCTTTGGATACGAAAAGAGTACAACTACAAACAAAATCCACAAGGACACGCAGGCCCCAACAGGTAAAAAAAAAGGGGGATCGAACAGTTTAGAGGCAGCCCTGCCTCCCAGAGCTTGGTTCTTCAGGGTTTGATTCCCTCTTCTTTTTTGGGGGTTCGAAGAAAATGTCTGTGCATCTTGAAATGCTAAGCCTCCGATAATGATTTGATTGGGACTGGGGTTAGTGATTGGCGATTGGTTTTCTCCAATGGTTGTAGTAAACTAATCTTCAAATTATAGTTTGTTGTCCTACGGGGCAATTTGAAAAGGTTTATTTGTTACTTTGATAATTTATTCCAGAACAGACTTTTCAATTCAATTAATGTAATGTTATGGAAAAGAATGAAAAATACGAAAACATGTGAAGAATGTCTATTTATTTATACAAGTTTTTAATATTTTTAATATTTTTTTTTTTTTTTTTTTTTTTTTTTAAAAATTAAATGTTTTGAAGAGCTAAAGTCAACTTACTAGTCCTAAAGAGAAAGAAAGATGTTGCACTTTTAATTGACTGAGTTTGACAAGGCTGTTGGAGAAACTTTTGATGATGTGACTCTCCTATTTTAGCATTCCAAAGTTGTTAAAGAAACTATTAATGATGCTCAATGCAAAAGTTGAGAGCAAAAGATGATTGATTTTCATTATCGAAATCTTTTATTTACTAGAAGCAACATGCATAATGATGGCTTTGATTTCCCTATAGAAACAGTTTGAAAATAATCTTGTTCTTTGGCTCCATGCAACATGAATCATGATGGTTACGACTTGACTCGAGAGTTTGAAAAGTATGTGATGTCATTTCTAGATTCTTCGTTTTCTTTATTCAATCTATTTCTTGAGCCACAAGACTGCACTTAGATTTTTTGACCCATGGCCTTAGCCAAATGGCCATTCTAGATGCCCCTTTTGTCTACTTTCACTGCTCAAACTCTTTCCCTGGTGACCAATGAATATAGTTCAGGGCCATTTTGTATGATTTAGCCATTTAATTTCCAACTGTGATGTGCTCTACTAGAATTGGTAAGCTGACTTGCTGGCATGGTATCCACAACCAGACATAAATCTAAGATCCTAAATCCCAAATCCATTTGGAGAAGAAAAGAAAAATATCCCAGCTTGGCAACTTGGCAATATACAAATTCCAGCTTGTGATAATGTCATAATTCAAGGTTTGGTGACCAAAAGCAATTAATGCGATTCACCTACTCCAAAAATAAAGTCTCATACACTAGGGGAGGCATTATATTCGAGAATCATGTTATCTAAGATACTACTAGTTAAAGACAAAAATGATTTTCATAATTCAAGATTGTCTTCTCCCTCCTATCATAAATGTGGGTCTCATGTAATGTTTTTATTTTATACAAGCGATATTTAGAGGAATAAACAATGTTAACCGCTTCAGCAACAAACTTCATGCGATCACACATTTGTATATGGTAGGAGAATAAAAAAATAGTGTACGTGCCGATTATTTATAAATATAACTAACGTAACTAAGCACTGAAATTTATTTCAACTTACGAGATGACCTTAAGAAAACGAGATAACAACATCGATAGAGAAACATTTTTCCCTTGAAGAGAAATCACAACTTTTAAGATGTTGGATATCCTTAAGTAATCAATATCTCCTTTGTGAGAAGATAATCCATTGTAACCAAATGAGTCAAAATTCAGTTTTCCTCTTTTGCCGTCCAGCGAAACCCTTTTTCTCTTCTTCCATCTTATTTTCACATCAATACTTTCCAAAAATCAGAAGCAAACAAGCGGCCGCATATCTTCATCACCAATAACCGACATATATTGCCAAAGCCGCCTATGATATTTCCTTGTTAGCTCGCAGCCTCCTAATCCTAGTATTAATATATTCCAAATCTAATTGCCAAATTTTGTTAATTAATTCCAAATTATATCACAAAAACAAAGGCGTGCCGCCCATTTATGTATATAAACCAAGTGCTTTGCAGCAAATCTCCACGCTTCATAATCTAATCTGTATATATATCTCCTCTCATGACCCGTTGTTCATGCCAACCATGGGAGCACAAGCAGAAGAATATCAAACACTTCTTATGAACGAAGTCTTGTCTTCAGAGGCTGAAAAGTCAACGACGTTGACTGATGAGGAGGCTCAGCCAAATCTTGAAGAAGTGGAGAAGATCATAGGCTATAGCTTCAACAACAAGGTTTTGTTAAAAGAAGCTTTTACACATTCTTCTTTTCTGTCCACAGAGCGCTCTGCCTCTTCTTATGAGCGTTTGGAGTATGTTGGGGACGCTGTGCTCAATTTGTTGTTCAGCAGAGAACAATACAATTTGTACCCGGACTTGCCACCGGGCAGGCTGACCCGGCTCCGGGCGGCCAATGTCGATACCGAGAAGCTTGCACGTGTGGCTATCAAACACGGGTTGCACCGCTACCTGCGGCACAAGAAACCCTTGCTTGAAGAACAAGTAAGTGATGATAGGGCAGTAAAAGCATAAAACTCTTGGATCCTATATTTTCTATTGGGCATGGATTTTGATGATAATCAACGTCAATTTTGATAAGTGCTAACCGTGCATTTGTAGGTATCAACCAGGAAAGTTGAATTAGATTACATGTAGTTGTTGACAATTTTCATTTGAATTCTGATGTGTTTGTTTAGTCAATTTAATTGCCGTGATTAATATATTTAATATCTTCAACGATTAGGTTTCTTGTCTTAATCTGCATTATATTGGCTTATACGGCATGACTTTAAGGCGTGGGAGTCTCAAAAAACCACAAGTCACAATCTTATATGTATCTATATGTTTTTGGGTTCTAGAATTTGCTAGATACTTTGAAATTTTTTGCTTGTTAATTTGACGGCTATTGCCAACCCTGCACATTAATTGTTTGATGTGAACCTAATTGTTTTCTTTCAAAGGAACAAAACTTCAAAATTTTGGATTTGTTATCATCAACAGTTGTGTTGAAAATTTTCAGATTCGAGAATTCACCCGAGCGATTTCGCATTATCCACTGCATTCCAATGGTCTCATAGATGCTCCAAAGAACCTTGCAGACATTGTTGAATCAACAATAGGAGCAGTTTTCATGGACTGTAACTCAATTGACACTGTGTGGGAGGTCTGCATTCCCATGTCCTCATATTTGTTTCAAATGTTTGTTGTTAAACCATTCTCACTAGAATGTTTGTCTTTTTTTTTCAAAAACTAGGCGTTTAAGGATTTGTTGGAGCCGATAATAAATCCGGCGACGATAAAGACGCATCCTGTTACACAGCTTTATGAAATATGCCAAAAGAACAATCTAAAACTTCGGTTTGTAGATTTGTGGGAGGAAAGCCACACGGTGGAGGTTTTCATAAACAATGAGATTGTTGGAAGAGGTACTTACAGTCTTAAAAAGGAAGTTGCACAAAACAGAGCAGCAAAAGATGCATTGGACAACATTTGGAAAGTATTAGGTGAGGAAAAAGAAAATGCCCAAGACCAAGACCAAGAGGCAAATTGTCAATCTGAGGAACTACCTGAAATGAAAAATCTTAATGTGTAGCCTCCAATTGTCTTGGAACCGTCTTGATTTGGATTAAGTTGAATTAAGTACCTACGTACATTCTGTGATGCGTTGGACTAAAAAATAATATTGTAATATTTAAATTTAATTAAGAATTCTTACATTTTTAAAACGCTTTCTGATATATTTTTTTAGAATAATAATATGTAAGCTATTTTCAAGTGTATTTTTGTTAATTTATGTTCTAAAATAATAATTGAAACAATAATGGAATTCTATTAAAAAAAAAACTAGATAATAACATCATAGTAGAAATAAACAATTAATAAATAAAATTGAAGCTTAATTAATTAATTAATTATAAAATAATAAAATATTTGAGAAAACCACAAATATCTTCTCTTCTTCCTCTCCCCCGTCCCCTCACCACCTAAGATCCTCCTCAAATCCATTTGCCTACCTCCCCAAACCACACAGCTCACGCCATGCTATCCACACATACAATCATGCCTCTTCTCCTCCCTATCACCCCACTTTGCCCCTAATTAAGGCCATTAGATTCTGACCCACATCAACAAAACGAACAAGATGGGGATGATTATGATGATGATGGGGTCCTATTGGATTGCTCACAGTCAGTTGTGTAGGGGATGTTGTGGTTGTGCAGGGGAGGTGGAGACGTCTAGTTTCTGGGTTTTGCAGTGAGTTGGGTGGTGATGGGTGTTTAATTAGGTATGATTTTTGTTGTCAATATGGTTTACTGAAAACACAAATCCAGAAAATCCAGTTCTAGGTGAAGAAGAAGAAGAAATTGGTGTAGTTCGGACTCGCATGTTCTATTTAGCGAGTTCGCTATTTTGCGAACCACTTTTCAACGTCGCTATGTTAAAAGAGCGTGTGAAAAGGTCTTTTTCATTGATGGACTATATAATCTCGTTTAAGTTAGACCCCCTCTTTCTTACTAATTATGGGTTTTTAGTGTTATTTAAGTCAATTCAGTCTAGTGATGCGTACCAAACACGGCCTAAATTCTTATAGGCTTGATTGTTGAAGTTGTTGGATTTTTAGATATCTTCATGTGATCTGTGAGATCAATCTCAAGCTAGAAAATCCAGAAATGTGATATGGGAGAAAATTTGTTCTCTCTAGCTTCTTGAGCACACTTGCTATATGAGAAGTCAAGGCTGGCTGATTATATCACACAGCCAAAACTAGGAACGCCACACATATAAGAGTGACTATGTGGCTTCATCTAAGCCTAACAAAATAAAGTAGCATTAATACAACCAAAGACATGACAAGTTTCTGTCCAAAAATTTTCAAGACCTATTTGACATAAACTTAACTACACTATTACAACAAGTGCATTAGTCATAATTTTGATACAGATAGCTGTTTCTTATGTTTATATCAGCTTCAAAAAGTTTGAACCTGACAACAATATTGGGGTCCAAATGCTTGTCTGTGCCTTTTGTTGCAGCTTAATTTAGCTGAGAATCCTTTATAAATTATAATGGCCTTGTTCGACAGAAAGGAAGATCTACTTCATGGTTGAACTAAAAACAACACCCAAATGGTTCAAAAGTATATTCAAAACGCAAAAAACTCCCACATCGGAAATATACAAAAGAGAGACTCTCTTTTAATAGCCGCGTTCAGTGAACCAGGATTTGCTCTATACGAGGATCGTTCATTGTGGCAGTCGAGGATCGTTCTCAGTCGCTGATCAAGCTGGCTGGGGTGGTCATACGGTTGTCTGACAGACCTCACCCAAATTTTTTATTTTTTATTTTTTATTTTTTCCTTCTTATTATATTACCAAGTTATTGGGCTTCTATTTTCCAGGCGCTAGATATATGAAGCCTTATTTGAACCAAAAAAAAAGAAAAAGATTATGCCTTTTCACTTTTTTTATATTGAGTCAATACTACCGACTCTCTACTATTATACTCATAAAATTTTTTTTGCAATTGTTGTTCTAGTTTGCAAAGAGATTGTAAAATCACCATCTTCTATTTTTCTTACAACTAAGAAATAGTCATAGCTTCCCAAAATCTTTCATAGTTAGTAAAATACGGAAAGAGAAAAATACGAATAAAATATATACGTGTTTTATTCTGAAATTTTTTAGCACATTTGTAGTATAATTTATTTAAATATTTAAATATATATTATTTTTATTCAATAATATGTGAAAATTATGTGTATAATAAGTGAATTTTGTGTGTATTATTGAAAATTTTGTAAAAAATATGTGTATTAAAGATGAAAAATATGTACGTACGTCTACAATAGGTGTATTGTATGTTTGATTTTAAAAATCAAAAGGGGACAATAGAGACTTGGTTAATGGCCTAATAGTAAAATATAATGCTCTAAACTACTTTTATCGATAAACAAAAATCAAAAGAAATTTTATTTTATTTATAAGAAAAGTATCCCAATGCAACTACACACTTCATTTTTTAAATTTTAAAAAAATTATTTTTTTTTAAAAACCCCCAGTATAGCCGGCCGGCTATACTATTTATTTTTATTTTTTTAAAAATCCGTATATGGCGTAGGCGTCCTTTTATTACCAACGGTATAGCCGCGCGGCTATACTATTTATTAATAAAAAGCACCATTCAGCTATAGTATTTATTAATAAAAAGCACCATTGCTCAACCACCAGGAGAAGAAACAAGCTTCTTATTGTCTCATTAATCTAAGCGCTCTTTAATCTAAAGAGCAAGTTCTCTTCGTCTCCATGCCATCTTCTCTTGATTCCTCACCAATATATAAATTGAAAACCTCAGAATCAATCGATTTTTCACCAAAATCAAAGTTGAAAACCCTAAATCTTTGTATATTTTAGTAAACAAATTCGAAACCCCCAATTCTCGTGAACCTTGGACTTGTGCAGATGACGCCAAGGAGATTGGGGTTGTTCTCTGTCGCGAGCGTTTGTGTTTTTCAAGGGTTTAGAGTAATTATATTTAATTTAATATTTAATAATTTTAAATTAATGAAACTTATGAAATTGAAACATTTGACTTGATCTGCTAACAATTGCAAATGCAATAACCAAAATCAGAAATTGAAATTTTGGTGACCAAAATTAAATTCGACTCTAATCCTAGTGACCAAAAATATAATTATCTCTAATCATAATTAATCATAAGCTCAAATAAAATCCACAAACCTAACATAACAAAAAACCTAAAACAACCCATGAGCCTAAACGAACCTTACCATCATCACCTGAAAAAGCCTAAAATAAAAAGTAAAATAAAAGAACATAAGAGCAATTGAAATTGGTTTTGGGTTTTTTTATATATATAAATATTATGCTTTGGGCTTGGTGGTCCATGAAGTAGTCAAATGGCCTTCCAAAAGGAAGGGCCCAGATCCTTCTGGAATAAATCCATGTGAAAGAAAATTCGTGGAACCAACAAAATACACAATTCCAACATAAGAGGAAAACCAATTTCTTTTCCTATTCTGTGTGTTCTTCTTAACCAACACGAACTGGGACTCTGATTTTTGAGAACAAAAACCTTCCGAATACGAGCAAAGCCATACAAACCAGAAAAGCAAAGAGAGAGCGAGAGAGATGGATTTTGAGCTGAGGAGAGCGAGAGAGAAGCTGGACAAGGAGCAGAAGGAGAGGAAAGAGACGGCGAGGAAGAAATTGGAAAGGGAGAGAAAGGGTAAAGATGAAGCTAAGAAGCAAAGAGAAGCCATTGATGCTGAGAGATCCAGACGCCTCTTCGATGCCGCCCAAGCCCAGCTTAAGGTTCGTTTCTAAAACCCCATTATTCTTCCGATCACTTTGATTGTTGAATTGGTATTTGCTTGATCTTAAGCTTGTTTTATATGTTTGATTGTTTCAATGATTGGAAAGAGTATCTGAGATTGCTCAGTTCTTTGAAAGTTGATGACTTTATTCATAGAAAACTGCGTAGCTCTTTGAAAGTTTATGACTTTATTCATAGAAAGTCCTTTTTTTTTTTTTATGAATCCCTGTAAACTTTCAAACATATAATTGAATAGCTATGCTTACAATGTGCCTGGGAAAATCACAATGATTATTGATTTATTCCTAGGTATGGCCTAAACTTACCCAAATATGTATCGCATAGTAAATTTCTATTTTAGTCACCATATCGTTATTGACATACTCCCCTTAATATATACTTTCATGAAAAATATATAAAAAAAACCTTGCTTTATCTTGGTAATTGGGCTTGCCAACCTTTGGGACTTAATGTGATATGCAATCAATTGAAGGGAAAGTTCAAGTTCTTTCAGTTGATTAGTTGCAAGAAATGCCTATTTCCTAACGCCTATTTCCTCAGGTTGATCAACAAATGCAAGAAAGTCTACTGGTCGGACGAGGCATCATGTTTTACCGTGTATTGGAAGCTGTACCTTTTCAGGGTAGTGGAGATAAGATCAAGCTGCCATCTTCCTGCTTCAATGAATTGCAAGAACAAGGTGCTTTTGATCAGGGACCTTTATACTTTAAATTGTCGTCAGTTCATCAAGAGGCTTCTTCAGAAATGATTGATGCTGATAAGGAGAAGGGTAGGAGCACCCATTCAGGTGTTTTGGAGTTCACTGCAGAGGAAGGTTTTGTTGGCCTCCCCCCTCATGTTTGGCAGAATTTATTTCCAGCAGAGACACCAAGTATTCCTCTGATAGAAGTTCGCTATGTCTGGCTGTCTAAAGGGACTTATGCAAAACTTCAACCTCTTAGGGCAGGTTTTTCAGACTTGCCCAATCACAAGGCCATCCTTGAAACAAGCCTTCGTCAGCATGCAACCCTTTCTGAAGATGATATATTTATAGTCAACTATGGGGAGCTGGTATATAAGTTACAGGTCCTTGAATTAAAACCCTCCTCAAGTGTATCTGTTCTAGAAACAGATATTGAAGTTGACATAGTTGGTGCTGATACAGCTTCAGAAAAGACTCATGAGAATGTCCTAAAACCACTTACATTTGGAACATCAGAATCTGGAATGGTTGATGAAGGGAACTACACGTATTACAAGTTCTCAATAGATAATAATATTTGGGAGAAAATTGCTTCAGGAGATGCGAAAGTTGAGGTGAGAATAGACGCAGAGCCAAATTCTGGGGATACTGATATTTATATTTCTAAGCATCCTCTCATATTCCCAACAAGGCACCAGCATGAATGGTCATCTCATGACATTGGTTCGAAGGTATTGATCCTTAGCTCTAAAGATAAGAGCTTGGAAGCAGGAACTTACAGTGTTGGTATTTATGGTTTTAAGGGAACAACTAAGTACCAAGTATCTGTGAATGTTCAAGATGACAGTAATCGGAAGGTAGGTCAGCAGGCTGTGTCTTCCTCGTCATCAATGGAGATGGATACTGTAGAGTGTAAGAATTGTAAACGTTATATACCCAGTCGGACTATAGGACTTCATGAAGCCTATTGTAGCAGGCATAATGTTGTTTGTCAGCACGCTGGTTGTGGAGTTGTTCTTAGGGTTGAGGAGGCCAAGAATCATGTGCATTGTCAGAAATGTGGGCAAGCTTTTCACCAGGGAGAAATGGAAAAGCACATGACAGTTTTCCATGAGCCGCTTCACTGCCCCTGTGGAATTGTGCTTGAGAAGGAAGAGATGGTAGGCTATATTTTTCTGCCCCTTTCCTTTCTGCATCATTACATTTTCATTTCATTGGTAAAATTTTAAATCGAATCATTAGTCTATGAACTTGAAAAGGCTGAAATTTTCTCTCCATGTTTGCAGGTGCAACACCAAGCCTCAGTTTGCCCCCTGCGCCTTATTGCGTGTCGGTTCTGTGGGGACATGGTTCACGCAGGAAGTTCTGCTTTAGATGTGCGGGACAGATTGAGAGGATTGTCTGAGCACGAGAGTGCATGCGGGTCGAGAACTGCCCCGTGTGATTCATGTGGGCGTTCTGTCATGTTGAAGGACATGGACATCCACCGGGTTGCTGTGCATCAGAAGAATTAAAGCCAGGCATGAGTTCCCAGTTTCCCTGCATTGTCAAAGCCTGCTTGTGTGTTTGAATTGTGCCCTTGTAAAATATAATTGCTGCTATGTATTGACCTGAGATAAAGGAATAAAAGGAAGGAGAGCC